CCAGGGGCACTGAACACCTCTGAACTCAGTGCCAAATGCAATCCAGACAATCCACCCCCAGAGAAAATGATGGAGTTTTTCACTCTCAGTAGGAGTCAGTGAAGGAAGTGAGCTCTTAAAGACTGAAAGACATTCCACCCCCAGCTCTGGGTCTCTGACACTAAAATAAATGGAGTGCAAGACCAATTATCAGCTGGAGAGGCTTGTGAGATGCACAGCCTACATGAACACTTAGAGCCCCAAGAGAACAAACACAGGGCTTACAAAGGCCATTTCTTAAACTCCACAAATGTGTGTATGTAATGGGATATGCACAGGCTCCATTTACTTTCCTACTTACACCCTGTGTGGGTGATCTGCTGGAAGGACCTCAATTTCCTCTACTCCCCAAACAGAAACAGGACTTGTATATGGAGAAATATGAAGTTTGGGCTGGGAGGGACCCCTTCTCCCAGGCAACAAGAGATAGGACAACGGGAAACAGCCTCAAGCTGTGCCATGGGAGGTTTAGGCTAGATATCAGAAGAATTTCTTCACTGAAAGAGTGGTTAATCATTGAAACAGGCTCCCCAGGGAAATGGTGGTGACATCACCTCTGGAAGTGTTCAAAAAATGAGCAGATGTGGCACCTGGGGCCATGGTTTAGTGGGCACAGTGGTATTCGGTCCAAGGTTGGACTTGATGGTCTTGGAGGTCTTTTCCAAGATTTTTTATGATCCTGTGATTCTCTTCTTGACAAGAGGCAGGGCACCTCTGCTGCAGTTCAACCTGCTCTAGTGTGACTTTGTTAACTGGTAGAGTTGACACAGTTTTGGCTACAAAGGACAGAGCTGCCTGAAAGGGAACACCTCACTTCTCCCACCTTGATGATCCCTGGACCAAAACTGGTCCAAGCAGTAACTCCAATCACTGAATGACCTCTCTGACAGTGCCAAGTAATCCCAGGGCCGGTGGCACAGCACTTGTGGTACAGGTGACAAAGCATGTGGGGCATGAATCACCTTCTCTCTGCAATCTGAAATTTAGGTCCTTGCCTTCATGGGCTGGATAAAACTCCCAGGGACTGGAAACACGGCCCACAGGTGGCACTTCAGTGCCCATGGGACAGGGTGGCAGTTTGCCACTGTCATGCTGATGAACCTGCATCTGACATCTTAAGCACTGACATCCACTGAGGTAGAGAAAGAACCCATCTCTGTGCTCAGTAAATGTCCTCCAGCTCCCTTTGTGATCCTCACAGACTGGAGATCTTCCCATGGCAGTGGCTGAGCAGAGCTCCTTCCAAGGAATGCCCTCCTGCCCCATCCCTTAATAACTCAATAGCCCTGAGTCCATGAAGGCCTTTTAGCAGAGTTTCAGCTCTTAAAGTCTCAAGGAAGTATGAATGGAGCAGCAGAGAGGCACAAATGTTTTCAACTGGCTTGCATTGCCACTTCAATCCCTCTGGCTGGGACCCACACATGCCAGGGAACACCACTTCCAGAGCTCCCAGGAAGGATGGGGACACACCACAAGGCTGCTGAGCTCCTGAGCAAACACTGCCACGGGCAGAAAAGGGAATGTCAGCACAGCTTAAAGCTGAAATGGGACAATGGAATTCCATTAACCCCAACCAGTCAGAACTGGTGGGCCTAAACGTGACTGACCTTAGAATCACAGAATGGTTTGGGATGGAAGGGACCTTCAAGACCACCTGGTTCCACCCCCTGCCATGGGCAGGGACACCTCCCACCAGCCCAGGTTGCTCCAAGCCCCGTCCAGCCTGGCCTTGGACACTTCCAGGGATCCAGGGGCAGCCACAGCTTCTGTGGGCAACCTGTGCCAGGGCCTCCCCAACCTCACAGGGAAGAGTTTAACTATGAATTTAACCTTTAAGAACTTGACCTTAACTGACTGAAATAGAAGAAGTCTACTTTTTATTAAGAATTAATCTGATCTGACTAATAAAAAGGAAAATTTTGTGCCCAAAGCTTGGGAAGAGCTCTGTACCTGCTGTGCACTGGAGCTGGCTGTGACACTGCCCAGCTGCTTCCGCAGCTCCTCGAGCTCCTGTAGGGAGATCTTGGAAGTAGATGAGGGGATGGAAAAATTCGTGGTGCTGCTGGTTGCTGCATTTGCTGCGAGTTCTGCCCTTTCTTTAGCATTTTGTTGCAGATAGTGGAGTGTCTGTACATACACAAAACAGAGAAAAGATTTTGTGAGTGCTGGACAGCACACACTAAGGCAAAAGCCATATGACCATAAGCTTGTTGTGCTGAATCCGACCACAGATCTCTCTGTCCCAGTTTTCCACGGATTATATCAAGAGGAGTGTAATTCTCAGTAGTGCTTTAATAACTCAGTAAATGCTACAACTGGTTATTTGTTGATTTTTATGGATTTCACCATCAGCTGTGCTCAAAATCATTGCATTGCTGGTACTGTTCAACACCCATTTCTAAAGGGAACACCAACCTCTTTGTCTTCAGTGAGTTTTGACAGCAGATAAACTAAAGAATCCAGATGTCTTGTGTTTTTAGACTTCAGCTCATCGTATTTCTTTAAAAAATCTTCAGGAGTTCGAGTAAACTCTGCTATTTTTACCTGTAAAACACCACATTACTATCAATTACAACTAAAATTAAATTGAATTACAGCAAACATGCAGCTCAGGCTACATAGATATGAACTTTCAGACAGAGTTAGCAATTTTCTAGTATTTAAAGCTTGACCGGTGGATGGCTTTTAAAAGCAACAATAAAAAGCAGCATTATGGCCATAAAAGTGTGCCTGGTCATGAGGGAGTTGTAGAGAGTGAGGAGGTCTCCCCTGAGCCTCCTCCTCTCCAGGCTGAGCCCCCCCAGCTGCTCCTCACAGCACTTGTGCTCCAGACCCTTCCCCAGCCTCGCTGCCCTTCTTTGGACACTCTCCAGCCCCTCCATGTCCCTCCTGAGCTGAGGGCCCAGAGCTGGACACAGCACTCCAGGGGTGGCCTCACCAGTGCTGAGTCCAGGGGCAGAATCACTGCCCTGGTCCTGCTGCCACACTGTTCCTGAGCCAGGCCAGGATCCATTGGCCCTCTTGGCCACCTGGGCACACTCTGACTCATGTTCAGCTGCTGTCACCAGCCCCCCCAGGTCCCTTTCTCTCCAGCCACTCTGTCCCAGCCCCTGGGGCTGCCGGGGGTTGTTGTGGCCAAAGTGCAGGACCTGGCACTTGGCCTGCTTGAACCTCATCCCGTTGGAATCAGCCCAACTCTCCAGCCTGTCCAGGTCCCTCTGCAGAGCCCTCCTGCCCTCCAGCAGATCGACACTCCCCCCCAACTTGGTGACATCTGCAAATCTGCTGATGGTGGACTTGACCCCCTCATCCAGATCATCAATGATGATATCAAACAGATATTCCCGACAATCTTCCCACTTCACACTCGTAACTGCGTAACTGCGATTCCAGATGAGATCACCCGGGGGGGGGTTTCTTTTCCTGCTGGATGACCCGTTATGCCCAGGAAGAGCTGGGAGGGGGTGCTGACCTTGGCGCTGTGGGCGGACACGGTGGTGGTGACATAGGGCGTGCGGTTCTTCTGCAGCAGGTCGATGTAGACCTCGGCGCCCTCCCCGCCGTGCACCCGCAGCAGGCTCAGCAGCTCGTTCACATCATGGTGGATCCTGAACTCGTTCATGCTCCCTCCTCGGCCTGCGGGACACAGGGAAAAGCAGGGAGTTGTCCTTTCGTTGCACGAGCTGAATGAAAACACGCCCGGCGCAAGCGACACTTCCAGTGCAGAGATGTTTGGCTGGGATAAGGGAATGTGCCCCAAGGAAGCAAATAAAACCTTGTGGGGCCTGATTTAGCTACACTGGCACAAACCCCACCTCAAACAGGGGTGGGCCAGCAGAGGGATTTTCCATCCGCAAAGGGAAGCCCCGTTTGTGTCCTGACAGCTGGCACTGCTGCTTTCAGCAGCACGGCCACGCTGCTGTTCCTGAACTCACTCAGAAGCAGTTTTTCCCCCATTTAGCGTCTTTATATTCCACTGCCCACTTTATTACGACCAAGCATCGAATTCTGCAGAGTTACTTAAATGAGAGTCTGAGTGAGGCATCGTAACAACAACCAAGGAGTTTAATGCAACACCCTGCACAGATTGTATCAGGCAGACACAGTGCAGATCCATGGATCAGGCACACGGACACACTCTTGGTTTGCCAAGGTCAGGGTATTGTTTAGGCTGGAATGGCTGCGGGTGCGGCACTGGGAGCGGGATCGCGCCGGGCGGGTCCCGCTGCATCCCACGGCGGATCGCCCGGAGCGGTCCCCGGGCAGCGCCTCAGCCCCAGCCCGCTCCATCCTATCCCGTCCCCCTCCATCCCGGTCCGGCCCGCTCCATATCCCATTCCGTCCCGCTCCATCTCGACCCGTTCCTCTCCAACCCGTCCCGTCCCGCCCCATACCCCATCTCTCCCATATCCCATTCCGTCCCGCTCCATCCCGTCCCGTTCCTCTTCATCCCCCCCTGTCCATCTCCATCCCGTCCCGCCCCACTCCATACCCCATTCTGTCCTGCTTCCTCCCGTCCCGTCCCATACCCCATCTCTCCCATATCCCATTCCGTCCCGCTCCATCCCGTCCCGTTCCTCTTCATCCCCCCCTGTCCATCTCCATCCCGTCCCGCCCCACTCCATACCCCATTCTGTCCTGCTTCCTCCCGTCCCGTCCCATACCCCATCTCTCCCATATCCCATTCCGTCCCGCTCTATCCCGTCCCTCTCCATCCCGTCCCGTCCCGCTGCATATCCCATTCCGTCCCTCTGCATATCCCATTCCGTCCCGCCCCCTATCCTATCATATCCTATGCTATGCTAGTCCCAATCCCGTCCCATCCCATCCCTACCTGTCCCGCCCGGAAGTGCCGCCGCGGGCGCCGGGAAGCGCGTCCCTGGCGTTGCGCACGCGCAGTGCCCGCGGTGTCGCCGCTCCGCGCTCCCCGCGCACGCGCAGTGCCCTCCCCGCCGCCCGCCATGGCGGCGCTGCCGCTGCCGCCGGGGCTGCGCCTGCGGCTCCGTGAGGGGATCCCGCAGGACACCGCCCGGGAGCTCCTCTGGGAGCCCCCTCAGCTCCCCGCTCAGCCCCTGCCGCCCTTCACCTTCGCCCCCCGCCGCCTCCGCCTCGGCCCGCAGCATCCGCTGCTGGAGGTGAGGCTCCCCCCGCAGCAGGGGGCTCGGCGCGGTGTTTTACAGCCCTGCCCGCCCGCCCACGGCCCTCTCTGCTCCTCTCTAGGACGGGGACGTGCACAGGCACCTCTACCTGCAGGGCGTCCTCACCAGCCTCGAGGAGGTCTCCGAGAGACCCAAGTAAGTGAGGAGGGGGCTCGTCAGCACGGCTGCGGGAGAGCCCTGAGCTGTGGGGTCAAGGAATGGTTCGAGTGGGAAGGGACCTTAAAGCTCATCCAGTTTCACCCCCTGCCGTGGGCAGGGACACCTTCCACTGTCCCAGGTTGTTCCGAGCCCCGTCCAGCCTGGCCTTGAACTGATGTTGGACATCCTCAAGCTCTCTGGGCAACTGCAGCCGGGGCAGCTCCAACTAGGAAGGCTAAGCCCGGGACAGAATCTTTGCCTTGCTCTTGTATGTAAAAATCGAGGAAGTACTTTGAGTGTTGTGTGAGGTTTTCCAGTGGATACCTGTTAAAAAAGCATTGGCACAACATTATCATCCATAACTGGGACTTTAGGGTCAAACAGCACTTATTTATCACATTACTGCCTTGTTTATTATTCATCAAAGCACCACTTGACAGAATGATAATAGAGATGATCCCGAAGCCATAATTGCAAATAAGAGTAATCAAGTGAAAGTGCTCAGCCATTGGAATGGGCTGCCCAGGGAGGGGGTGGAGTCGCTGTCCCTGGAGGTGTTTAAGGA